TGGGGAGGTCGTGGCGAGGTCCTTAAGGGGAAGGGTGCCCCAGGCGCGGCGGTGGACTACAACCCCCATCATCCAGAATGGGCTGGGTGCGCGGGCGTGGAGCCTGCAAAGGGGCTGTCTTGCTCTGGAAACTGAGTGCGCTCTCCCGCAGATTTTTAAAAATGGTTTTAAGGGTTTTTAATGACTTTTTGGTGATTTTGTTGTATCTACCTGCGCGACTCTGAGTGGCGTACCAGGTTAAAAACATGACGTTAAATGATAACGTCACATTATACAAATAAATAAGTAACGTATACGGGGGTGTGAGACCAAAGCGGGCCATTTGCACGCTTGTTTTGTGCGATTTCTCCATTTGTCCACCCAACCTATCTGTGCCATGCCTTGTGGAGACCCTGGGCATGGATTAATCCAGGAACCAGGTTAAATGTGTGGTGTGAACATAGCTTGTTCTGCTCTACCGGTGGTATTCAGCATTTGGCAGAGGCCGGGTTGTAATATTTAAATAAAACGCGCTCATAAGGAAGACGGTTGGCCTCTTTTTGGGGATGGGGCCCGTGGGTACAAATGCTGCTGCCTGACTGGTCGAACTTCAACAGGCCCAGCTGCCCCATAAATGGAAATGGAGTGGGGAAAAGCCAAGCTCGACCAGCTGAGTGTCTGCCTGATGTGCCGAAGTTGAAGGCAAGAACGCTGTGCTTACCGGGGCATTGCTGAGCGCTGCCGTTGCTGAGTAAACCTGCTGTCAGTGCTGAAGTACAGTAGCGGTTTGGGGGACATCGGCCTTCTCTGAGCTTGCCAAGAAGCAAATGCTGGATTGTTGCTCGGCCGTGCTTTTGAACGCCCCACTTGGTTGAGCTCGCCCAACACGCTGGGCCAAAACCAAGCCAAACATCATGGAGCTCAGCCTAGTGTGTGAACCTAGACTCAGACCTGGAATCTGGCTTCCTGACCGAGCAGTGAGTTGAACCAGGTCCTCACCAGATCTTGTGCATTAACTCTAAGCCCTCCATCCTGCTGGCTCTGTAGAAGCCAAGGTGGGCTTCCATAGACGCTGTTCTAGTTATCAAGATGTCCTTATGCGCCCCAACCCTTGAGGCACAAGAAGAAGTGAAAGAACAGTTGGGAACTGGTTCAAGGAGATAACGAATGTCAAGAGCCAAAACCCAGGCCGGCAGCATTGTCCTCAAGCGTGCTTCCGATGCTCCTTGCAAGCGTCTTTTTGCAGGTGGGTATTACGATGTTCCAGATGCAGCTATCCATCTGCAGATCTTATTGATTTATTTGCATCCTTATTTAGAAAAGGTATGAGTCACCGGTTTCCATTCCAATACCGGGTAGTTTTCAAGGTATAAAAATCCATAAAAACATTGTATGTATGTAGGTACGTAACAATTTGTTGCATTTCTGTCCCGTGGCAATCGGATTCTCAGTGGCTGAAATAAAAACTGAAACGGCAGCAGAAAGTAATTGTGTTTTGAGTTCCTCCTAAACTGTGTAAGGAGAGGGCTGATTTTAATTTGGAATCATATGGAATATATTATGCAATGCATTGTACTTGGGTAGAAACAGATTGCACTGCTTTTACCCTCATGCTTGTAAAGATCCTGTTGCTGTGCAAGATGAACGTGTTTCTGTCAATTAAGAAGCTATTCCTAGCAAGGAAGGTGCAGAATACGTACTGAAAATGCTGGTTTTTTCTAAGCAACGCTGCTTTATCAATCATGTAGTGTCCTGATTCACAGATAACACTAAGTCTTAATGGATGTGTCCACCCATCATGCTAAACCTACATCGGTGAGACTGCAGGATCTCTGAACAAGAAGGGTGAATTCAGCTCAAGTATCTTGGAATGGAAATGTGGGCATTTATAATACTCGGTACAGAGCTTTGTGTTGTAACAACATAAAGTTTTCTTCTCTTTTGTGTTGTTTCATGGTGGCTGAGTAGTGTGTTCCCCTGCACAGCCTGGAGAAGCCCTGAAGGCTCCTTGAAGTAGACCCGTCAATTTCATTTCTTCCCTCCCCATGGTGGATGAAAGTAGAACAGAACTAGAAAATGATACAAGGATAAATCAATTTAGCGGCATGAAATTAGACTCCGATTTGGGGGAAAGAAAGGGATAGAGAGGAGAACACAGCCCTGTGTGGGTTTAGTAACATCGTGCTTATTCTTCTGGACCATATGTCCATTTAAATGTCAGGCAGCAACCAGCTCAAGACAGATTTTGTCGTTTTTCATGAGAAAAAAAAAACCCCACGAAACATCAGGAGCGCGTAACAGAATCGTACATGCAAGAGTTTCCCACGGCAGCACTGTGTAGATTTGAGATGAGCAGGCAAAACAATTGCTGTGTGTGACTTGTCGCTGAGAAGAGCTCCTTCCCCGTCCTCAAAGGGTTTCCTAACCGCAGACTTGCGTATTAATCAAAGCTTATGACATCCTCGGGATGAAGGCAGCAAGGACGGGAGCTAGGATGGAGTCAGTGGGATGCTGCAAAAGCAGCAGCACGCTAATGGGTTTGAATCCTCACCACAGCCTTTCCCTTCCCTTTTTTTTTTGTTTTGCTTCAACTGAGTATTTTGAGGGAAAGGAAGCCATACAAACCCACTGCCTCTCTCACATTTTTTGCAAAGTAAATACAAAGGTCCTCTGAATCATTCTCAGATTTGCTTGAAAGGGTTGTTGGAATAATGGCCCAGACGGTTTGCAGCTAGTTAAGATTTATCATCATTCCTGTTTTGCCCAGGCTCTTTTTCTTAAATAGAACTGCCATGTTCAGAGAAAACATACTTGGGTTAGGAGATGCCGGAAGGAGAACAGGAAGGGTTAACCCCTGCTTTGGGATTCTTCCTTGCGAGTTTTCCAAAAGCAAGAGTGCAAGATTGCCTCTGTTTTATTCTAATCCGCCCAGCCTATGTGCAAATACATCCTTGCCTTCGTTCAGTCTGATCCAGCTAGGAGGACAGGCAGGAAGGGCAGATCAGGAGATCGTGCAAACCAGTCCCTTGGCCTGACTCCAAGTCACAAGGTACAACGTGAATCATTTAGCCACAGATCTTGATGTCATATGACTGTTAAGATTCAGTTTTTGTCTTTGTCCTATCTTGGGGCTCTCTCAAATTCCAGACCAAGAACGCACAACCCTGAACGAACGTCAGAAAACACTCCAACTCAGCAAAAACCTCATCTAGGCACTGACCCAGGAGCAGATCTAAAGGCAGGGGACTGGGGCAGGACGCTGTATGAACGCAAGGTTGACTACCCCTTGGTCCGGGCCATCCTTCCACCCTAGAGTGCTTCTCAGGTGTCGTGGGAAGGCTGAGAAGTACACTTGAATACGGTCCTCTGCCTACCTGTACAGGTGACTGTTGTGAATTGTGTCCCAGATGGATCTGGGAAGGATGTCTCTGAGATTGAACACCCTGAAGGAGGAGCATTGCTATCTAAGGGAAAAGACTATTTAGGTTTCTTCCAAAGCAGTTAGGTGGCCTCATGCATGATTTTATTTCTCTTTATTGCCGCTGCTTTGCTCCCCTTTCTCTCTCCTTCCCTCCCCTTCTTCTCTGCAGGGCTGACTCACTCTGCAGCACACGTACTCCGGCGTAAAATGAAATCCAGAAGATCCATTCAAAGCCCTTCTCTTCCGCAGATCCCTTTCCCCATCCCTTAGTCAGAGCAAACCCTGGCATTTTAATGAATTGCCATCTGCCCCCCACACTTTCCCCTCCCCTCAAATGGTTTCTTTGGCCAGTCGAGGATGGTACTCAATCCATTCCCATCTGTGAAGCTTGCAAGGCTGAGGGAAAGCCATGAATGAGTCACTGGGTTCTCAATGGCCTGGAAATCCGGGAGGGAAATACTGATGGACGTAATGCAGGGATCTGATTCCTCCTTTGCAGGCTACATGGCTAGGCTTGCTGGGGAAGAGGAAGGGAGCTGCATAGGATTCAGGCCTCATCTGAGGATTATGGCTCCTACCTTGAGCATCATTCCTCCTGCTCTTTCATTATCTCGGTGCACGGTCCCCTTCCTTGCTCAGCATCCTCTGCCCTTCTCCCAAGCATCTCAAGTAACTGTTTATATCTTGGGGAATGGGCACATCATTCATCATTTTTCTAAAGAAATGGGTACAGTGAATGATGTTAGATTTAGCAGTACTGCCTTGCATCTCTCATGCCTTTAGTTTTGCTTACTATTTCACACTCCTTTTCTGGGTTTGCACAACTCTGCTTACCCTCCCCCCCCAAAGGGAACAGCGGAACTGGTATGAATGGCAATGGCCGTGGACACATAGCCTCCTAAGTCACAAGGAAGCAAACCCCACAATGGCTTGATCTGCTGGGTGGATTCAGCCCTTATAGGTAGTAGTGAGAATGAAACAGAGATGAAGGGAACCCTGCACACAGCCATTGCGATCCAGGCATGATAAATGTATCTACTTTTGTGAACAACAGGCCCAGCACAATCACATGTACTATTTATGGCAAGGATTCCAGATTCAGTTCCTTCCACTTCCACAGGAAATCCTGGAGAACCATTTCATTATTTTTTATATTTCCATACTTGCTTCTCAGAACATTCAAGACAGTATAGAAATTGCCAGTCAACACAACGCAAATAGTACCAAATTAGATGGACAAAGCATCTGACGTGGTTAAGGCAACGGCCATTAACCATGCCATTATGCCCATTACATCTACCTTGCCACGGTCCTGGAAATTCTAAGAATTTTTAAAAACGCAATAGGGGTTACAGAGCCCTATCATATTACATCAGAGGTTTTGGAACAATCTATTTCACCTGGTGCACAGCTGGAATGGCATAGCAAGGATGGGCTTGCCAGATGTTATGGAACTACAGCTCAGCATCCCTCATTGCTGGCTATGCTGGCCAGGAATGGTGGGAATTTTAAGTTCAGGAACATCCAGAGTTTGTCTGTCTCCTCTGTATTAACTTTTTAGGCGTGCATTTACAAAATATCAGATGTCCATCTGGAAAGCCTGCCAGGACATTCCTTGTCTTGGATGAATGTTCCTACTGGCTTTTTTGGGGAATTTCTTCAGTGGCTGGGGAAACGGTCGATGCCTCCTTTCTCCCTGCAAGGCCAGTTTCTTCTATACCTCCTTCTGCTGTTAATTTTGGAAAGTGATTCAAGAACACATGCTGTTGAAGTTTGCCTGACTCAGGATTGGAAACAATCTGTGGAGATTTGTTCATGACAGCCTCGGAGGAAAAAATAGAACTCACTTAATTCTGACTTGGATTAGTACTTAAGCCAGTTAAAGTTCTAAATCATCCACCACTTTGAAAATCTGCACTCAAAAACTGTTGTTGGAGTTAAAAGCTTTTCGTGCAAAGATAGTAAAATACTGTTAAGGGTGTAAAGGTCTATCTTCTAAAGTATCCCTAAGCAAATTGACGATTTTTAGTTCATTGAGTTCAGTAAGAGCAATTTAAACACTTTCAGTTCAGTTTGTTTATGGTCCAAAACATTAAGTTAATGTGAATTTAATTATTCCAGCTGAAGAGAGAGCTCCTCCAGCCTTGTGGGAGAACAGTTGCTTTAGTATCCAGTTCTCTGGTACTCATAAACAAAATTTTCTCGCATTTACTTTTAAAAGATGGATGAAAGATATGCCAAGATCTTGAAGTTAATTAAAAGACTGCAGATTCAGAACAGTATGTGCAATGTCCAATTTTCAGTCGATCCTACAAAAAGGAGAGAATGAGAAGGCAGAAGAGTGTGGCCACATGCCCAAAACTAGAAAAGTAGAGATGCAGAAAACATTTCTAGTTCAAAGCAGACCCTCTGAACAACAAAGCATGGCCTTTTAAAACATTCCAACTGTCACAGCTGGACAATGTGTGTGTGTGTGTGTGTGTGTTTTGTTATCAGATTGTGGGTTTCTTCTTTTCCCAAAGATTTTCAACCTAGCGAGTACAACGGCAGACGCTGGTTAGGTCTGTCTCTGCTACCGGTTCATGCTGGATGGGTGCAAAGTTGGAAAGAAGACATTTAAGCACATTTTTTAAGTTAAAAGATTTCTTCCCCCCCCCCCCACCTATAAAACCACCTCCATCACACATTTAACCTCTGTGTGGCGCCTGTCTGCTTATTGTCCTATTAGAAAATATAAATATATAG